TTAGGTTGGAAGCCATTGCTATTAGGTTGGAGGCCATCGCTACTAGGGTGGAGGCCATCGCTTTTAGGTTGGAGGCCATTGCTACTAGGGTGGAGGGCATCGCTACTGGGGTGGAGGCCATCGCTATTAGGTTAAAGCTATTGCTATTAGGTTGAAGCCATTGCTATTAGGCTGGAGGCCATCGCTACTAGGGTGGAGGCCATCGCTCTTAGGTTGGAAGCCATTGCTAGTAGGTTCGAGGCCATCTCTACTACGGTGAAGGCCATCGCTCTCAGGTTGGAGGCCATCGCTGCTAGGGTGGGAGGCCATCGCTCTTAGGTTGGAGGCCATCGCTACTAGGGTGGAGGCCATCAGTACTAGGGTGGAGGCCATGGCTACTAGGGTGGAGGCCATCGCTTTTAGGTTGGAGGCCATCGATTAAAGGTTTGAAGAGACTAAATTCTTTAAAATGAATGAACAACTTTGGCAACTCCGGTGCGTCTACGGTGCGTGCCTCCACCATGCGATGGAAGGCCAGCTGTATGAGTGGGCTGAAGCCGCGCACCACAGCCGCGCAGTAACTCGCAAACAAAACCGGACAAGGGCCAGCTGAAAATGACTTGAAGGAATAAGTGGACAGTCGACTATATCTCTTTTATGGAACCAAGTCGACTATTTGATTCGATCACATGCTAAGTTGCAAAGGCTTGTGACAGTTCTGGGGTCTGCCATTTCATAATTTCAATAATTTCAATAGATTCGAGTGGGTACAATGTGTACAAAATCAGCAAATGTACATTTGCATCCGCAACCGCAAATGACATTGAGCTAGTTTGGCACCTCCGCCAGTTGCTGGGAGGTGGCAAGGGACCGGGCTCTTCCGCCTGAAAATGAAGAACTTGTTACTAGTAGCGATGCCTTTGTTACTAGTAGCTTCTTGCTACTAGTAGTAATGCACTTGTTACTAGTAGCGATGAGGAAGAAGAATCACAACAGTGCAGCAGCTCAACCCTTTGAAGAGCCGAAAAGTCCGTGCGAAATTTCTGGAAAAGGACTGGCTTGTGACGGAAAGCGTGCACCGAGCGGTGCACGGCCTTTGGCAAACATCGCTGCAGGAATCGAAGAGCCTCCAACTCCTTGAAAGTATCAATGGCCTCCACCTACTAGCGATGGCCTCCAACCTACTAACGACAGAAAATCGGTTTGTAGATAAAACTCCACTTTGTTTCTTGTCCAGTCCTGTCGAGCTGTAAGTGGCTCTTGACTTTCAGGAGGTATCAAGTTTTGGCAGAAAGCTGCAGCCAGAATCGCCGCCTAGCATGTCATGTCACAACAACCTTCCCTCGCCGCGGTTTTGTGCACCTCTGGCAGTGGCTCTGCCAAGGTCATGCGACACTGTGCCAAAACCTGCGACTTCAAGGGGCGAAGATTCCAACTAGTGGCAGGGGCAGGGCTACTAGTAGTTTCTTGTTACGTAATGCCCTTGTTACTAGTAGCGATGCATTCGCGCAAAGCCAAGGTGCCTTCCCATGCCAAGTATCCATCACAGCACCCAGTTTCTCCAACCTGTGATGGACACCAACATGATTTAGCCAACAACACTCAATACCCAACTAAAGGGTTCACCGCATACACGCCCCCTATTTCGCTACAGCTCAGGAAAACAAGGGGGATGAAGGTACCGTAAAATATGTCCCGACTCGAGCATGACAAAACGTTTGTAGAGAACGAAGAAGTCTCCGCTTGGTCTATGGCGGTGTTACACTGCATGCCAGGTGTGGTCGTCTCTGCAAAGGCACGAGGTGTTCAGTAGCCAGAGGTTTCCGAAGGCAAACAAAGAGAAGAAAAATCATAGAGGTCGCAAACCTGGTTGGGGTCCCATTCGTCTATTGTCGATTTGCTATCTCGACTTGTCTTCCATTTGGCTGTTCCATGTTTACCTTCAAGCTTGACCCCTGGGAGGAAAGCATACAAGCAAAATCGTATCTTGAGAAAGCCGTGAAGCATCAAACCAATCGGCATGGACGCTACTAGGGGCTCCTGGCCTTACTACTAGGAGCAAGGACGCTACTAGGGGCTCCTGGCCTTACTACTAGGAGCAAGGACGCTACTAGGGGCTCCTGGCCTTACTACTAGGAGCAAGGACGCTACTTCTTTCTTTCTTTGGGCTCATCTCCAATGTCTTGGAGCTATGGGGCATACGTGAGGTTTCACTCACGGAGGAAGCGCCCTCGCGCCAGATGGTCTTTCGACCTTTCACCACTCTAGTCAGCCGAGTGGCCGTCTGGCCTGGTGGCCTCAGTCATCCATTGCAAGCCAAGTGCCTAGACCATCATCCATTCCAGGCTCTTCTCGTGGTCGCGGAGCACCAAAAATCTCTCCTCGTGGCTTCAATTCCACCTCATGGTAAGCCTTTGCCAAGGCTAGGTTGAGCACTGTGGTACAACTATGTGAGGGCACCGAGGTGAGCATAGGTACTGCACCGCACATCAAACAAGGGGTTTCCAAACCCTTATGATCGAGGCCATGGAGCTCGGAGGGGCGGGTCAAAGTCCAGCGGAGCGCAAAATGCCGCTGAAAGACGTGTCGTGCCAGAGTGGTCACATCAGTGAAAATCTGGCTGCATGCTCCACAGTGAACTGCAAAATAGTGGATCAGGTCTTCTTGCGACTCCAGTTCTTGCCAGCTCTGTTGATCGAAGAGCTGGACTGCCTGGTGGACTTTGGCATCATGTCCTCGAATGTAGTAGGACGGCATGACCTCAATGCGGCGGCTGGTGCGGATCAGCCACACGCAGATCCAGTCCGCTGGCCGCGGAATCGAATCACTCGGGTGGCAGCATGACTCCTTGCCATCGTCGAACAGCACCCAGCCTGTTGTCGTCCGTCCAACTCCTTGGAGGTGTCCTTGCTGGTCACGACCCTGATGAACGATGCCTGCTATTGGAACAAACTCATAAACCTCAGTCATGAGACTTTCGGGATCCGGGGATACCAAGATCTCGACCATGGAGAGCTCGAGATGCCAGGTGGCTTTCACTGGAGTACCTTGGGAGTCAGGCTTGAATCTATCAAGCTGGAAGCACAGCAGTGGGCTATCAGTGTCGAAAGCGGTGACCATGCCCATGTAATTGCGCCATTCATTGATCAGAGCTTGCAACGAAACTTTTTTTCAGCAGTGGCGTCGCTCGTGGTCAAGGATGGTGGCAGAAAGGCCGTACCTCGATCCATGATCGTGACCTGCTCATTGGACTGAATTTTCCTAGTCCACGAACCCGTCAAGGCAGATGGCCTGGTGTAGGCCAAAAAAGCTTTCAAGAATTCGGTGGCATCATGTTGCACGCCATCGTCCCAGTTGGTAATCCATTGATTCCAACTCTCAAGATCCCGGATGTCAACCCAGGGTGAGTTACGTCCACACAAGTCCATCAGGAGCCTGGCTGCCCCACCAAGATCCGACCACTTGCCATGGCGTAGGTGAAGAAATCCCCAAAAGAAGGCCAGTATGGTGGCATGGACAAAACAGAGGTTGTTGGGATTGATGAGGCGCAATGCCATCAAGGTTCCCTTTACTTCCTCTTGCTGGATCGGCCATAGGACGTCCTGCTTTCCTGCTGTTTCGAGAATTTGGCTAAGGAAGTAGCCAAAGGGTTCTCCCGCTGGTTGCGCGACCGCACACGTGCTTGGATCACCAACCAAATCAAGTTGTGGGAGAGCAAATTCAGGAGTTCCCATAGGGCACTGTCTCGTAGAGAGAGATGAAGTAGGAACGGGCAAACTTGCTGGCGCTTGATCTCCTTGGAGGTATTCTTCAAAGACTTGAACCTCAAGAAGTGATGGTCGGATTGCGCCGCCTCCACTAAGTTCTCCAGGTGTTTCTGCATCTTGACCATGTCGAGAGGTGGTCGGGTAGTCTGCTTGAGGCTTTTCGTCTCGCTGCACCATTGTAACCAGGGCCATTTCCCTTCCGGTGTGATCACCTCGTCCTTGACCGCTTGCTCCCATTCTTGGCTGTTCTGAGACACCTTTGCTAGTGCCAGCATCCTGTCCAAGGTGGTTTGACAGACCAGTTGGAAGAGGACCACACGTAGAGGCTTGCTGACCTTGCTTGCTTCCATGTCTTTCTTCCACGTGGATGCTTGTGTCATCAGTGCTGGAAGGACGCCGTGCTGATTCATTTGGAAGAACAGCAGGAACTGATCCGTAGAGGCCTGGGCCTGCAAGTGCTCCAGTGTGTCCTGGTGCTCGGATTGGAGCTCCTCCGGCCGGCCACGTTTTTGACTGGATCCTGAACTTGGCCCATCACGTTGTCCTCGTTGATCTCGAAGGATCCCATCAGTGGGTGGTAGCGGAGCGCAAGCCACTTGTCTATAGGCCCTGAGAAAGGCCAAGTGGAGTGCTGCAGGGCAGAACTCCTCAATCCCGTTTGAGTCTAGGCAAAAGCGGCAGCAATCGAGTCGTGGGCTCATACAATCAGCATAAGTCTCAAGAGCGGATGCAGCCAGTGTGGCATGACTTGTCATGAGGTGTGTTTCGAGTTCAGCAAGGGAGAGCAGATGTTGACATAGCTGACAACAGACATTGAGGCTCGAGCGGAGATCAGGGTGATCCCAATAGGCATCCAGCTCTGACTCATCGTGCTTCTTGACCTGGCTCAAGGATACTGCAGTTGGTGACTCCTTCTTCGCGACATCATCTGGTTTGGGGTGCTCCGTGTCGGTGTTTGCAGTCACTTGCAACATTGCAATTTGGTTGAAGACCACACACTGATGACCTTTCCGAACCATGCGATTCCCACAGTAGCACGGACGGCCCAAGGCAGCTGCCTGATTTTGCAAGTTGGTGCTTCGATCTGATGCCTCCTGAACCACGGTGGCATGGTCCTGCAAATGATGTTGAAGGAGAGCTCCTGGCTTGGTGCAGTGCCTGCCACAGAGTGCACAAACAGTACGAAGTGCTTGTACAAATGCTTGCTTGCGCAAGATGAGATCAGTCTCATTGTTCTTGGCCACGGTCATGAGTTCGGGCCATGTCATGGGAATGTGGCTTCCCAAGGGACGATTGGGGTTGAAGGACTTGCAACAGCCTGTCTCGATGTGGCGCCTGAGTGCAAAGTAGCTGCCCTGGATGCACAGGCAGTGGGCACAAGTCGGTGTACCATCAGCGCTGTCTCGTCCTGGATGGCAGGAGTTGATGGATCGAAAACTCAAGGCCGTGCGTGGTGAGGTCTTGATTCTCTGGCCTGTTTCAGGGATTTGCCATTGGGCTTCCGGCTTGGGTGGCATAGGTGCCACAGGCCTCCCATGGGCAACGTCCTCAGTGCATCGGTTTGTCGAGCACAGGTCATGCAGGATGGCCATCTGCCTGATCACATGGCAGGCGTGTGCTTTGGCAATGGGCTTGCCGCATGCTTGGCACGGCTTCCCATCTCTGAGAGCATTGATGATAGTCGGTGCTTGTGCTTTGGACGTGGACCACATTTCGTAGTGGTTGAGGTTCACATGCTCCAGTAGGGCCTTCCCCGAAAAGAACAATGCTCTCTGAGGACTCCGATGAGATCTGGTTGCTCCACCAAGGCCATCCAGGCTTCTGCATGAGCATGCTCGCGAAAAATTGCTTGGTCTGCAGGTGGTACCTGGCTTTCCAAGTCAGGATTGAACATTGGACATCCATCCCAAATGATGCGTCGTTTTAAGCCTCCCCAACCGTAGAATTTGAAGTGGCAATGGCGACACTGTGGTCTTCCTTGCAGAGCATCCCTGGTTGAGATAAAGGCTTGCGCTGTACGTGTGATTTTGTGAACAAGAACAAGATGACGGTTCAAGGCAGTCATATCAACGAAGTGCTGAGGGCAATACGGACATGCTAGTTCCCAATCAAAGATTTGTGCCTTTGCATGATCAAAGACAGACATGGCTCGATGCTTGATGTGAGCGATCGGTAGGGAATGCAAAAAATTCCGTGGAGTGAAGGTGCGCCTGATTGTGTTCAAGACGGTCGAACAATTGAGTCCACTGTGCCTGCAATCCAAGCAGGGGATCCATGACTCCCAAGCGTCGAAACAAGTCAACATTGCTTTCATGCGTGACATGTCCAGGTGACTGCCCTAGTAATCGAAGGTCTGCATTACATCGAGTTATCAGTTTGCGCAAGCCGTCCTGCTTGAGACCAGCTGCTGCAAGACCGTGAAGATACGAGCTGAGGATGCACGATCTCCACACTTGGGCACTCGTTGTCGAGGTAATTGAATGGCGCTTCACGAGCCACGGTCGAAGTCTTTGGAAGGCGGTTTTTCCTATGTGGATGCGATGATTAAGCGTCAACTTCTCAAAACAATGGTATGATATTTTGCAACCAAGATAGGTGTGAGAGTGGACAACCGGCAACAGGGTCTCCTGGGAGGACCGTGGAATCCGGACAAACAGTCCTTCCTTGGTGCGAATGAGACATTGTTTCGTGAGTTTGGCCGCCTGAGAGCCCTCAAGACGAATGAGCATGACTGTCTTCTTAGGATTAAAAATCAGGCGGCGCTGTTCAAGAACGTCTAAAATCTGACCAACTGCGTGCAATGCTTGGTGAACTTCGGTCGGACTACTGATTTTCCAAGGCATCAAAAGGTCATCTGCAAAGCAAATCAGCCGGTGAATCAGTTGGCTGACAGTGCATTCAAGAATAGGGCATATTGCCTGAAATATGATAGTCATGAACACACTAAGGGACTACCTCGACATCCTTGACGAACCCCACATGTTGTTACAATCTCAGAGGTCAACCCCCTATGGTGTATACTGTATTTGGCATCTTTGAGCCAGTTGACCAACAGCAGGGCTATTGACGGCGGGCAGTTGCAGTTCAACAGACCCTCAAGGAGTTTCGACCGCGGCAGCTTGTCGAATGCTTGAGAAAGGTCGAGTGAGAGCATGAGTCCCCCTGTCAGTTTGGGTTTTGTGTGTCCTGCCTGCTTCTGCCAATGCGACGGATTGGCCATGGTGCAATTAGTTCGGACCTGATGGCAGTGATCGAACACATAGCACAGAGCCTCAAACACCCCTCTACGATCAGTATAGGCAAATAAAGGAAACTGGATTAAGCGCTCTGCCATGTGAGAGGAGGCAGCTTTTACCAGTGCTCCTAGTACGGTTTTGCCCAAACCGCAGGTCAAGGCAATGGGTCTGAGGTCTGTGGGATTGGTGACCGTTCGTTTTGCCAACAGGGTCAAAACAGCGTCCTTCCATTCTGCCGGAATCGAAGGTCGATGGTGATGCCACGTGATCTCCAAGTACCTGTACAACCAACTTGCAAGCTGGGATGCAAAGCGCTTTATGATTAGTGGCGGCAGGGTGCCTGGGGCTACAGCTTTATCAATCTTGGTGGCTCGAAGTTCATGCGCCAAGTCAGCCTGGGTGAAGGGTATTGTCACTGATTGCATAGTGGGAAGGTCTGAGGTGGAAGCGCAAAGATCGCTTCAAAATGAGCCCTCAATGCATTGAGCTCCTCCTGCGGGGTTTGTGCAACGCCGGCGTGACGAAATCTGATCTGCCTACGAGGCTGCTTTGGAGTCAAGGATCGAATGGCCATGTGTAATCTTCTTGAATCATGCCAATACGCAGCTCCGGTGGCCTCCTGGGTGACTTTGTTCACTCGTTCTTGACGCTTGGCTTGGCAGTGCTTCCGAAGACGCGTCCTAAGCTTCAGATGTTGGCTCATGTGGAGCCATGCTTTAAATACTTGGACTATTGACGGATTAGTGCAAGACTGAGCATTGCGCGCAAGGTGAAGATGTCTCCACTTCAAAGCAACCAGGGACCTGGTGGCTGGAAGATTCCAAGTGACTTCTTGCTGAGGAGGTGAGGCACGAAAGTGGGTTGAGCATGCTTGAACGACAGAATTAGTAAGCTGCAGAGGTTGAACATGCTGCATGGACTCTTGCCTCAACTGCTGGTCAATCTGAAACGCGAAGGTTTGCCAGTGGGAGGAACCGGAGTCCCACTCCTGGCGCATGCATTGCATGGTGGCTCTTGACAAACAAGACGCGGCAGTTCAAGTCTGACAATACCAAGCCTTCCAGTTCAATGGGATGGTGGTCACAATTGGTGCATGGTCAGGGTATCCTCGATGAGTGTTCAATGGGAAGGTCCTGACACAGCGCGCTTGTCGTGACATTTGATCCAATTGTGGATGTCGTGCAAACAGGTAATCAATGGTCGAATTGCCTGCGGGACCAATGTATGTGGGACCTGGGTCATGAACTCTGACAGAGGCTAACGAAAACCTGTCGACGACTGCCTTAAAGGCTGCTTGATCAGGAAAGGATGTCGTTTGCGTCGTGGAACAGGTCGTGGCAGCCAAGGAATTGCGGTGATGAGGAGATTCCGAAATGGCAACTTAGCTAACAGGTCCTCCCACGCATGCCAAAAGGTGTCACGAGCTCGAATAGGGGCGGGTCTATTTCTGGCAGGATTATTGGGATGCTGGTAGCAGTTTACCAAGTCTATCGTGATGTTATCTAAGTGACAACGTGTATGTTGCAGCCTGCCTTCAAGGACATTGGCATGGCTGATAGGGGACGGCGGACAAAGTTGAGTTCGAATGATGGTAAGAAGCCCATCATGCGCATTGTCCTGTGCAGGAGTTGGCACTAATGCAAATCCGCTGCTCTCCCATGGTTCATCCATCCCCCACGGTGTTCCTTGAACAAAGCAAACATCAATCCTGCGAAGGGAGAGCCAAAGCAGTAGTTCATGATACGTATCAGTGGTAAGTCCACCACAGTTCCAGGTCATGCAGCTTAGTCTCGGTCCCGGACCCTACGAGGTGGTCTTCTCGATGGCTTCAAGCGAAGAGACAGCTGGAGCTGAGAGTGGCTGGGTGTGAACTTGTCCACGGTATACGCAAAACCCAGTTTGCTGCAATCGCTTCATGGCCCTTGCGAAAGACCGTTTGACAGGTAGGCGCCTTGCCCTCAATTTTTGGTCTCGCAAGACCCTACGTGCCCTGTACCATGTCTTTCAGGGATAGTATCACGAAGATCAAAATGACCATCCCTTCCGAGGTACTGCATGGTCAGTACCTCACCGTCCAAAAACTCATCAAAAAAACTATTCGACTGGTATGCGAGCCACTCGATCTCGTCGAAGCGGTCCATTTGGACGGTCCTGGAATTGGGACCAGGCGGCAAAATCAGTGCAGCGTGCTGCAGGATCACCAGCTGCCGAGGGGCTTCAAGGACGCTACTAGGGGCTCCTGGCCTTACTACTAGGAGCAAGGACGTTACTAAGGGCTCCTGGCCTTACTACTAGGAGCAAGGACGGTACTAGGGGCTCCTGGCCTTACTACTAGGAGCAAGGACGCTACTAGGGGCTCCTGGCCTTACTACTAGGAGCATGGACGCTACTAGGCGCTCCTGGCCTTACTACTAGGAGCAAGGACGCTACTAGGGGCTCCTGGCCTTACTACTAGGAGCAAGGACGCTACTAAGGGCTCCTGGCCTTACCACTAGGAGCAAGGACGGTACTAGGGGCTCCTGGCCTTACTACTAGGAGCAAGGACGCTACTAGGGGCTCCTGGCCTTACTACTAGGAGCATGGACGCTACTAGGGGCTCCTGGCCTTACTACTAGGAGCAAGGACGCTACTAGGGGCCCCTGGCCTTACTACTAGGAGCATGGACGCTACTAGGGGCTCCTGGCCTTACTACTAGGAGCAAGGACGCTACGAGGCCATCGCTCAAGACATCAATCTTGTCCAATCAGTTTATCCACTGGCTCAACAGTCTGGCCTTGGGCCTGCTTTGGGATCTACCGGTAGCCTGCAGGTGCAGACAAAGCTCCAAGCAAGATCCTGATTCAAAAAGATAGAAACAGCGTCGGCCTGATATGGGCGGCATCAAAGGGATTCTCCTCCACAACAAACCCATACCTGCGTAGATGGCAAACAAGCTATCAGCTGTTGATCTCTGTATCACTGAGACGGGAACCACAAGAGCAAGCGATTGTTATCCTTTGAAGCAGAATAGGGACTGCAGAAATAGTTGGTGACCAAAACGCTCTTGAGGCCAAGATGCTGCTTTCTCATAGAAAATACGAACCTCACACAAAGCACCAAAACGCTAAAGCCATAGCTTCCCTTCAGCTCTGACTCGGCCTCTTCACCTTTCTCATAGTCAACGGACGCTACGAGTGCCACATTGCCATCCTTCAAAAGTCTTCAGAGCTTCAAACGCTCGAAAAGCCTTGAACCGCTCGATGCATCTTGATTCAAAGTCTTGAACCCCCACGACGCCTCCAGGATGGTGTGGGTGCGGCCAGTCCCAACCAATCTGGAACAAAACAGAAGACGTCGACGGTCGCGTCATCGTCTTTCGTGTACCCCCGGTTCCGTCGCGGTTCCGTCGCCCGCTGCATACCGGACAGTCCCATGGGTCCGCCTGTGGTCATGATTGGCCATATCGAAGCCAGGGACCAGCAGACGACAATGTTCTTTGCCAACCACAGAAAGACCTGTCCCAGAAGCTACTCGCGGGGCAAGCAGCAAAAGCAGGCAGCACCTGCAGAAGCTAGAAGCTCGCTGGAAAAGTCCACACAGCGGCTCCACAGCACCTAGGCTGCGAGTCTTATAGCTTAGAAAGGCTACAAACAGTCGAGAGGACCTCTATATAGAATTCCACCTCTTTCACCTGTGGTAAGCTTCAAGCTTCTCTCCCTAATCAAACGGCTGGATTTATGCCAAGGTGCCGACTTCGCCCAGAAAAATGACTCGAAATCAATCCCATGTGCCTGAACCGCTAGTAGGTTGGAGGCGATGTCCAACCCCTTTTGGGACAATGTATTTCTTGCTTTCAAGAAGCGAGCTGAGGATTTGTGAAACGAGTCCATTGTCTGATCTTGTTCGAGCCTCCAGCCAGTTTTCGCCGATGTTCTCCGCAGCCCGAGCCACTGCAGAGTAGTCAGCCCTGACCTGCTCAATGCTGGGAGCTGCGGCTTCAGGCTGGCACATGTTCAGTGGGCCTGCGCTGCAAGTCGCTTGGCCGTGTTGGCCAAATCAGGCTCTTCGAGCTCACCGAGCTCTGCCTGGAAGAGATGCCCAACCGTGGGCTGCTCCTGCCTGTGGCAGCCGTGGGGCCTCTGACCAATGTGGCAGCATATCGAAGCTCCTCGTGGTGAGTTCAGTTTACCCATTGGTCTCCTAGATTCCAACGTCCTAAACAGAAATGAATCGAAATCACTCTCCTGGGAAGGGATCGGATGTGCTCTGCATTCCAACCTGACACAGCTGTCATATGCTTTTGTCAAAAAGGCGTCTGATATGATAAGTTAAGTTTCCCTAGAATCTAGGAACCAAATCAATCGTGCGAAGGCTTCAAGGAAGCTGCCCCCGCCCTCAGGCAGGGGGAGCCTCCTTGAAGCCAGAGCAGAGTGCGCATCCTAGTCTAGTCTAGTCGATTCCTATGTAAGTCATCCATGCTACGTAGCTACTTCTCACCTCATGGCCTACCCCGTTCTGGGCAAGCAAACAAACTCAGCAATGGCCTCCAATCAAAAAGGACGATGGCCTCACAGCAATGGTCGTCCCACCTGCATCTCCTTTAAATCGCTCCAGCAACAAATGCAGGGCCATGACATCCTCGTCAGGCGACGCCAGCCCTTTGAGCTCGTTCAGCTCCTCGCGGCTGTCGCCGGCAAAAACGAACGCGTGTCGAGGTCGTGCGAATGGTCTGGAGTCGTGCCGACAGTCGTGTTCTTTTTTAAGTGGGTGAATTACATGGCCAATAGGGCAGCGTTAACAAAACGTCTCCAGAACTTGTGGAAAATTGTGTTTCTCTATGTGAAACCAAGAGCTTTGCTCATGTTTGTGAAGTCACAAACTAAAGAAATTTGAATGTTGGAAGCCATTGCTAGTAGGTTGGAGGCCATTGCTAATGTGTTTGCGAATTCTCATGACCTTTTCTAAAGTCTTCATGGGTCCTTTGGTGGCACCTGCAAACCGCTAGTGTAGCATCCCTGATCGTTTGTACACAAAAGATCCAAACACAGGTCAATCATGGACGTTTAATTTCATGCATTGTTTCTTCTCTCTGCGTTCTTGGAGTATTGATTCTAATGCTGTGTACAGCCCTGTGGACATGTACATACAAAGCAGTCACTGGCAACTGTCTTAAAGAGAATGTAGACTGATCATGAATCATCAATCCCACAACAAAGCTGGTCATGAGAAATACAGTTTCGAAGACACGCTTCTAGATCTCAAGAAAAGTGTATTTGTTTCATGACTTGCGGCTGCATCACATCCTTGTAGCTCTGCCTCGCTTTCTCTGCAGACCAGCACATCTCAAAGGGAACCTGCTACGCCGTCTCATTCTTCACTCACTAAAGAGATCAGAACCCCCCGTAGCTCTAGCTATCAATATAAATCAAGAGGTTGTCCAGTAGGAAACAGTGTTCTTCCCCGCTTCGCCTTCAAATAGACCTCGCCCCGCTTGATCGGAGCTAGGGCCCGAAAACCTCGGCCTGATGAGCAAAGGAGAACTCGGAACGAAGAAACCGAAACAACTCCAAAAGAATCCTACTACCGATGGATTCCAACCTGCTAGCAATGGGCCCCCCAACTTACTAGCAATGCAACCTCATAGCAATGGCCTCCAAGCTACCAGCAATGCCCTCCAACCTATCAGCAATGGCCTCCAAGCTACAACAAGCAATGGCCTCCAACCTACTAGCAAAGGCCTCCAACCTACTACCGATCGCCTCCAACCTGCTAGCAATGGCATTCAACCTACCAACAATGGCCTCAACCCTGTAGCGATGGTCTCCAACCTGCTAGCAATGGGCCCCCAACCTCCTAGCAATGCCCTCCAACCTCATAGCAATGGCCTCCAAGCTACTAGCAATGCCCTCCAACCAAATAGCAATGGCCTCCAAGCTACTAGCAGCGGCCTCCAACCTACTAGCAATGGCCTCTAACCTACTAGCTAAGGCCTCCAGCCTACTACCGATGGCCTCCAACCTACTAGCAATGGCACCCAACCTACTAGCAATGGCCTCCAACCATGTAGCGATGGTCTCCAACCTGCTAGCACTGGGCCCCAACCTGCTAGCAATGGCCTCCAACCTAATAGCAGTGGCCTCCAACCTAATAGCAGTGGCCTCCAACCTACTAGCAAAGGCCTCCAACCTCATAGCAATGGCCTCCAACCTACTAGCAATGGCCTCCATAAGAATCCTTGGCTGCTTCTTCTTACAGTTCAAAACAACTCACTGAAGACACAAGCAAGAATGCACACGCATGGATTGCAAATTCTTTGCCACTCCTGTGGGAAATTCCCACACATCCACCAGCGCATCCTGCAAGTCCATGGCTCTTTCCCAACATGCTCAATGCACGAAGCACATGTTTCTACTAGCAAAAGGAACCTAATAGCAATGGCCTCCAACCCTCGCTGTTTTGCAAAGACTTCCCTTCTCAGCACTTTCGGAGGATTGGACTCCACTATGACCTCTACTAGTAACAAGTGCATCGCTAGTAGTAACAGGTGCCTTACTAGTAGTAACAAGAAGCTACTAGGAACAGGTGCATCGCTACTAGGAACAAGAAGCAACTAGGAACAAGAAGCTACTCCACTATGAGCATCCGACTGTGAAAAAGGTACTGCTTTTCACCTGTTGCGACAACCTTGTCACAGCAACGTTCTTGAGCAGCGAGCTTCGGCATGCTCAAGTGAGAAGAAAGAGTGCAGACCGAACAAGCCACGAGGTGCCGCTTTTTCTCAGTCACTCTGTGATGAGATCATGTCAAGGCGGCGTATCAACGCGCCCAAAGCGGTGGGTAAAGACATACGGCTACAGCCACTTGTGCTCAAATTCAACCGTGTTGGAAAATCCTTCCAGACACTGCAGTCGCAAGATCGTGTTCCAAAACAATAGGTTTCGCAAAAAAGGAACCACGGTCCTCTCCAGCCTTGCCAACCGTGGCTCTTCGATTTGGTATCTGTGGTACGGCTCAAACGTCTCACCGTGTAACTTTGCCTTAAACATTCCAAGAAAACATCTGAAAGCAAATCTACACTGACTAGTCAAAAAGAAGCTGAGATGGAAACCAAGCTGGGCAAAGAAGAACTTCGACTGAAATGCGAAGCAAGAGTATGAGTGTGATCAGGGATTCTTGCCATAGTGCTGCACATGTGCTGGTTAAAGCTAAAGGCACAAAGGCTGTTTGCATGGCTCCTTGCCTTGCGACACGCTTGTTGCGCCTCACAAAAGTCTGATGCGCGTGGCCGACTTGGCACTTGAGCATGTTTGCCATCCTATACGAAAAGTGTTGAACATATTCTACAAAAACACCTATTTGTCTTCCAATAGTTCCTTCAGCTCAACTCCAACGTAATAGCGATGGCCTCCACCCTAGTAGCGATGCCCTCCAACCTAATAGCAATGGCCTCCAACCTAGAAGCAATGGCCTCCACCCTAATAGCGGTGGCCTCCAACCTACTACTAGCGATGGCCTTCAACCTACTAGCGATGGCCTCCAACCTAGAAGCGATGGCCTCCAACCTAGAAGCGATGGCCTCCAACCTTCTACTAGCCTAGAAGCGATGGCCTCCAACCTAGAAGCGATGGCTCCACCCTAGTACGATTGGTTGGTACTTTGACATGACAACTTGGCCCTTCGAATAAGTGGCCATTCCATCAGTACTGCTCGATGAAGCTCCGGAATCCGCCTCCGCTTCGGAAGGCTCGAGGCACGGCACGTGCCACTCAACACACAACATGCGTGACGTGGGAAGCCGAGCGGAATAGCATGAATAAAGAGGGTTGTGTTGACAAAAAAAGAGAAGAGAAACGGAAGCTAAGGACTTCTTTCATATGGCCGCCGTTCATTCGGCCTCTTTCATGCGGGAGCCCTGACGCTGTGCCTATGATGCAGATCCACAAAAGCTTTCTCAAAGAGTTCCGGAGGACGAGGAAGTGCCTTCCTAGCGTTCTGACACTCGATCCCACACATGCACTGCACTGCCTGCACTGACACTCCAAGCCTTTGGGCGGCTCTGCGCGAGTTGGCAGGTTCCTTGGTGCAACAAGGCATAATATGACACACATATTGAATACATTCAATTCACAATATCAAATCTAGACAAGTCGAAAATCTGTCTTGGTTTCTTTTGCTTGCACTGCCACGCCTTCGCAGCCACTCTACTCACGCCCAACTTAGTTGCTGTTGTAGCGAATGGGGAAGCTCGTCTGCACCAATGGATTGTTGAGATATCTTACAATAGATCTAACAAATTTGGGTTTTCCCAAATTGTTTCACGACAGTCACACTTTTATTCAAGGCTAGATCTCAAGAAGCAATACAAAACATGCCTTTGCAGCACTCCAAGCCCTCCAAATCGAGGACGGCACTAAAAGGTCGGCTGTGGTGGGACCACCCGGCTTTTCCAGACCCAATCTGCGACGGAAAGGGCAGTTTCAAATGGCGTTCAGAATGCGTTCTTGCTAGTAGCAAAAACGAGAAGTCACATCCGCAGTAAGATTGCGCATGCGTTTACAACTTTAAATATATATATATATACAGTAGTGATAATAAGAAAACACACTGCAACAAAAGAACAATGTTTGGCAGACTCGTTGCATTGCTCCCCACCTTCGGCGCTCTTTGCGCACACGTTCCTGCAACCATGCGAAACGCGCGAAACACTGAAAACGTCCGTGTCGCTCTGAGGCTGTGGCCGTCCACATGATTTGGGCATTGGTGCTCCTGGTGAAAAACACATCGCGATGCGAGGGGCCCGAGTTCCTCGACATCACATCTCAAGGGCACGCACCTGTCGAGAAGAGCATTGGACGTGCGACTCCACATGGCGACCACGACCAATCACAGCCGCAGGGCGGCCGCAGAGCGGCCACAGGGCTATATGCGGAACCAACCGAAGTCAATTGGTGTTGGGTTTGTGGGGCTGGCAGTTGGGTTGACTGGTATAGTCCAAGATCCCGTGGTAAGATTGATTCATGAGTCAGTGTCACACAGCTGGTTGTACATGCAGGCGCTGAAGGTTCAGTTTTGATGATATATATTGTAAGATGTTATCAGCGGAAGCGACCAAACCGGGCATACAGAGTTTCCCAAAACAACGAGACGATGTGTGTCTTATGACCACTTTGCCAAACCAGTTTGTCAAGCTGGAGCCAGTCACGGAATTTCGCACACCTAAAGACATGCAACCAACTCCACCCCAAGTCTCGTGCAACCGGTTTCACAATGGAAAAATCCGTGGAGGTGAGAGGTCAGGGCTTGCATACTGCTGCATACTTACCATGTTTTGCCTGTTTTGCCTCGACCAAATCTCGACCCATTTGTGTCCCCACCAAACAGCTGCACTACCATCTTTTTGCCACTGCCAAGAAACCAACAATCAATGCAACCCAGAACTTTTGAAGTTCACGATCAACCGAATTCAGAATTTTTGAGCCACCATTTGGCGGGCGCGCATGACCGACTTTTTGTGAAGCACGGCAGTGCTCAATTTCTCTTGATTGAGCCACCTCAACAAAATGTGCGTCACGCTATGCATGGCACCTCTTTTTCCCCTCGACCCTGTGCATTACGAGGTCGACTTCACGTCGCAAAGAGAATCTCTAAGGTGGAAAAGGTGGAAGAGGATAACAGAGAGCGGAGGTCTCACCAAACAAGCATGCAAGTGAAACGGTGAGATTGAGAAGCATGATGAAAAGGGCCGCAACTCTCAGATGACCAAACCATCAGTGGCATACTTCAAACGGTCAAGTCCTTATATAAGACTGTTAAGACGACCAGGCAGCCAACAGCAACTTGTGGAGTTTGGGTCCCGAGGCATTTCACACGGCAATAGAGAAGAAGGATCTCCAAGCTCAGATTCGACAAAAATCCAATCGCGCAGGTGAAACTTGTATTGAGCCGTCTCTCCGTCAAACCTACTAATTTAGGTAAGTAGCTAACAAATGTTCTACACACACAACACGAAACTATTTGCAACAGCACTCAAAAACACAGCAAGCGCATCGCACATATTTTTCGTGCACTTGAGCCAAACAAGCAAAGTTCAAAAGCTATGTCCCATGCGAGATACCGAAGGTATCGCGCTTAAAGCATTCAAACATGCACAAAGCTGTTCAAGAACCACTCTCACACTACAAAAACTACAATTGTTTCACAAAGTTTCAATACATTGTGCATTCCGTGAGCTATGGGGCGAAAAAATATTTACGCCCTAGTAAATTTGCAAGTTCTGGGTGCGAGTTATGCAGGGGAGGTGGGTCACATCACGAGCATCATTGGCGCAGAGTTTTAAGTACAAAAGTTTTGGGCTGTTCATAGCCATCTACAGCCAACTAATGAACATGTTCTGCATGGTGTCCAGGAGGGCAGGTCATGCAAGGCTTGCGAAAGTATGCCATTTTTGACCGCCTCCATTGCGACATTGCAGGCATTGGAGGACGTAGATCAACTTGGGGCAATACCTCATACGTCATTAAGTCACTAAGGGGCGCCCCGCCCGGCAAACCTGGCGGCATATACGTCCAACCATTGCTAGCCTGAGGCTGCTTTCCCATAGTTGTTTTTTTGCTGTGTTCCAACCTTGGTCCCTGCCTGTTGCACTGTTAGCTCGACTGGGGCGCCTTCCTACTGAGCTGCAGTAGGCACAGGTTCCCAAAAGAAAAGGCCGAACTAGTACAGGCAGCCGCTGTTTGAAGTCCTTACCACTTTACTTTGGTGGGTCCGGTCGAATTGGTCGGGGTTTGTTTGATTTGGCGCTCACAAACAAACAAGCAATTCCTACTGGAGTGCTCACTGCGGTGGGCTGATCCCCATGTGGACGCCTCACTAACGACAAGGTGAGCGTGAAAGACCTACTAATACTACTTTAAGTAAGTAAATTGCAAACGTTCTACACACAGCGCGAAAGCACTTGCAACAGCAAGCGAAAGCACGGCAAAGGCATCGCACTCTTTTCTCGCGCACTTGAGCCAAACAAGTAAAGTTCAAAAGGCTTTGACGCATTCCTGCAACAAGCGATTCCCATGCGAGATGCCGAAGGTATCGCGCTTAAAGCACTCAAACATGCACAACAGTGTGCAAGAACCATTCACACTACAAAAACTACAAAGGTTTCTCTTCACAAAGGTCCTAAACCCAATGCATTCCGTGAGCTATGCTCCACAAAGCTTTCCAAAACGCATGGCCAAAACAGAACTAACAAGTGTCATGAAAAGTATCAAAACTAGTGAAGAGATTGTTGCGGTGTCTTCCTAAAGAGGTGCGCCCGTTTCCAAAACCCCAAGGCAAGTCTAAGAAAACAAAAGTCACGGTCAAGTTTGGTGCAGGGCTTGCTTGACAGGACTGAAGAACAGATTCACAACTCAGTTGCGCCTCTCGATGCCCTCTTGCAGCTCCTTTGCCTTTGGTGCCTGCTGTTTGTTCCAGGAGCGTGCATGGGTGAAGACAGGCCCAGAAACC